GTCGACTCGTGGTTAGCCTCAAAAGACGTTTTTCCGACGTGGAATTCAAATGTTGCCAGAAAAATGGGAACAAGTAGTGGCTAGCGATGGACAATACTTTCAGTGATATATTTCTTATTAATTTTTGTAAATAAAACATTACTTTTCATGAAAAATCTGCGAGAACCTATTTAAGGTCCTAATGTATATATATATATATATTAAGAAATGGACAAGGTCCGACAATTTATTTATTAAAGACATATTTTATGTTTAACGTTGTTATTTTATAGATACAAGTATTTAAGCAAATGCTCTGTTTATGATAAACAGTATTAAATAACATTTACCGGCCTGAATGTCCGAAATTTTCATAGAAAATATTCGTTCTTTGAAGGATTCGAACCTGCATCCTATACGGAACCGTCATATACGCTGACGTGCCTTACCGCTTAGGCTACAAAGAAGCGTTCACAGACAAGGTCAATTTACTTTATAAACTCAATTTTCCATGAATCTCGTACATTCATAACTGCTCTGGCGTATCGAATGTAAACAAATGACGTCATATTTAACAACGACATATTTAACAACGTTAAACATAAAATATGTCATTAATAAATAAATTGTCGGACCTTGTCCATTTCTTAATATATGTCTACCGAACGCTTCTTTGTAGCCTAAGCGGTAAGGCACGTCAGCGTATATGACGGTTCCGTGCAGGTTCGAATCCTGTCAAAGAACGAATATTTTCTATGAAAATTTCTCGGACATTCAGGCCGGTAAATGTTATTTAATACTGTTTATCATAAACAGAGCATTTGCTTAAATACTTGTATCTATAAAATAACAACGTTAAACATAAAATATGTCTTTAATAAATAAATTGTCGGACCTTGTCCATTTAATATATCATTTGTTTATTCGATACGCCAGATTATGAATGTACGAGATTCATGGAAAATTGGAGTTTATAAGCAGTAAATTCGACCTTGTCTACCGAACGCTTCTTTGTAGCCTAAGCGGTAAGGCACGTCAGCGTATATGACGGTTCCGTATAGGATGCAGGTTCGAATCCTGTCAAAGAACGAATATTCAGGCCGGTAAAAATGTTATTTAATACTGTTTATCATAAACAGAGCATTTGCTTAAATACTTGTATCTATAAAATAACAACGTTAAACATAAAATATGTCTTTAATAAATATATATATATATATATATATATATGTGTATGTGTGTGTGTGTGTGTGTATATATATATGTGTGTGTGTGTATATATATGTTATATTACATATATACATATTTATGTGTGTTATATATATGTGTGTTATATTATATATATATATATATATATATATATATATATATGTGTGTGTATTGTATATATATGTGTTATATTATATATATATGTGTGTGTGTTATATTATATATATATATATATATGTGATATGATATATATATATATATCATATATAGATGTGTGTTATATATATATGTGTGTGTGTGTTATATATATGTGTGTGTGTTATATATACATATATATATGTGTTATATTATATATATATATGTGTGTGTGCGTTATATGACACACACACACACACACACACACACGCATATATATATATATTCAAGGTCTTAATATTTAACTTATTTATGATTAATGGACGTTTCTTTTTGAAAGTGTCATATCCTGTCGGCACTCCCACAGCCGGAAGGAAAAAGCTTAACCAACAATCGTTTTAAAACTTGTCAAGGATATAAAAAAAATTATGAAAGCGAACTTAAAAAATTTCAACTATATATATATATATATATATATATATATTTCTCATGCCGTGCGTGTTTTAGTAGTAACCCCGTGAATATGCAGCATTAGAATATGTGTTGGATTGAATGGTGATGACTGAGTTCTTGGGGTGTATGAGTAAATTGTAATGGATGAATGGGCCGTGAATCAGCTTAGCTAGGTGTAGGATAGTTAATGAGGGGAAGTTTTTCTTTACTCCCACTTTTGGCCATCTGCGATATAATATTTAAAAATAAAGCAGCTTAAAATATTAAAAATAAAACACAGCGGCCCAGATGACAAGGATCAAAGTGTAGTATCTGTTTCAGCAGCTGAGACCCAACACACTGCTCCAGACACCAGCAGAAGTTTCAGCTAGCCAGCCAAGCAGCCCGCCATCATCATTTCCAGCTCACTGTCGGATGCCGCTCAATCCATCTCCAGCAAGCCCCCAGTTCCAACAAACATCGCCAACAGCAACGATATGCAGTCCTTTTCATGACATTTCAGCGACTGCAAAAACTATTCAGGACAACGATCTCCAGTGACAACAAAACTGTCCTTTGCAGGAGAACACTCTCCAGCGACTACAACTGTCTTTTTCAGGATAGCATTCACCAGAGACTACAAAACTCTCCTCTTCAGGACAACACTTTTCAGCGACTAGAAAAACTGCCCTTTTAAGGACAACGTTATTCGCAACTACAAAACGGTCCTTTTCAAGATAAAGCTTTTCAGTGACTATAGAAGTGTCCTTTTCAAGACAATGCCCTTCAGCGACTACAAAACTGTCCTTTTACTGATAACGCTCTTCCGCAACAACAGAGGTGTTCTTTTTAGGACAACACTCTCCAGCGACTACAAAACTGTCCTTTTCAAGACAACGTTCCTTAAGAACTACAAAATTATCCTTTTCAGGATAACGCTATTCATCGACTGCAAGACTGACTTTTTCAGGACAATGATCGACAGCGACTACAAATAAACAACAAAGAAATAGAAATACTATAAAATTTGACTCAATATTCGATTTGTTGTGTTATAAAATAAATTAAGAGTTATCTCGGCTGATTTACAGGCAAATAAACTAACATACTCAAGAGCGAGAGCCGGATGTGAACGGGACAAGTCCCCGTCACAAAATGACCGTTACCTTCGTTTACGCATGTTCCCGACGCACGAGTTCCGGTCGAAAAATAAAATAATATTTTAAAGTGTTTCTATTTTTCGACCAATAAAAATGCTTCCCTCCTAATTATACTCGCGTCGTATTTCGAGCCTGTTAAGCTATAAAGAAACGCCATAAAAGGGGTCACACGGAAGTACAACGGCAGTCAACAGGAGGCCAGGGAAGAGACCGGTCACGGTCGGTCTGAGCAACCAGCAGCAGTCAGCAGCAGTAGCGCCAACTCAACCAGTGTGAACTACTATGAGAGATCGACCTAGATCCGAAAGCCGGCTTATGAACTATACCACAAGGTAGCTGTCCCAAACTCACACGTTCCTGTTGAAATAAATCACGTAAATCTATTTCTGTTGTTGTCGTATTTCTTTCTTGCAACCATATGCTTGTCTATAACAGTTGTTAGGTATTTTTCATTTTCTCTTTTATTATTTGCAGCATTTTACAATAATTTGGCTGCAATGCTAAGTTTCCTAAGTTGAACAAACTAGAGCTATTTCGTTTACGCTTTGTTACCTCTTTTGCGTTGTTGTTTTTAGGTCGCTTTCTTCCAGTCATTTTGATGGGCAATAGCGAAATTCTAAAATTTAGAATGATCTTATTCCATTTCAAAAATAAAGTCTGTGAAAAGTAATATTTTATTTTAATATACGACCAAAAATAAAATTCTTTTGACAAAAACCTTAATGAATTCACTATAATTATGTAACAATCATGTAATGATATACCGCAGACAAATCTACTGTTTATGTTACCTTTTATCATTTAACTTCTACCTAATTATAATATTATTTTGACTCAGTGAATTCTATTGGTTGTAAAATAGTTCAATTCATTTTTCACGTAATATTTCTCTTGACTACAAACTTTGTGCAAACTAAACGCCAAGTGGATCACAGAAGCTTCGACTAAAATTCCGACTTCTGATTGGCTAATATATGTGAAAATTGTTACAACGCCTACGCAGTTGTGTTCAAAATTAATTTACCGCCAAAAAGTTTCTGAATAGAACTAGACATGTTCACAAGACGGTCACATGACTTACAACTAAATAAATAACGTGAGCGAACCTCACCAGTGAGATTTTTACCAGCAACAAGAGAGCATGCAACTTTCGACTCACTCACTACGACCGATACCAACTCCGCAACAACCTCATTGCATGGTCACGATCTATAAACTTAAATTGAGCTTGAAATATTGTGTAATCGGATTTTATTTTTTGTAAAATAATTGGATATGATATAATGAATAATTTGTAGTGAAAAAAAGCAAATTTTCGTTTTTTTGCTGAATACGTTCCTCCCCTGTAGCAGTATCATGGAACTATTTCCCTACGCATAACCTGTGTAAACACCATGGCGTAGGGATATTATAAAAACACTCGGACTTACATGCTCAACAGCATTGGGCCTTCTAACATATAAACTTGTGGTATATTAATAAGAATGGACCATTTGTAGATGTCTGCTATTAACATGACCACACGATTTATATTTAACGTAAAAATATCATGAAATATGAAACAGCAAGAAGGAATAAAAACGGTTTTTTATAACAACAACATTTACAGTGTAACCCGGATATAAGAGACCCGGATATAAGAGAAACCCGGATATAAGAGAGATTTTCTCTGGTCCAAAATTAGAGTCCATACTTACCTAAACAAAATAAACCAAACCCGGATATAAGAGAAACCCGGATATAAGAGACTCCTTCTCCGGTCCCGACAACTCTCTTATATCCGGGTTACACTGTATATTTATTTTTGCGTAATGATGCACATGTGTAGAGGTTTTATTTTGGTGTTATGTCTCTTTGACTGAATTAATATTTTTATCTGAGCTCACAAAAGTTGAATGAATTATAAAGCTGAGAAATCCTGAATAAACTGTAGCTTTAGAAAAGTATTTCAAAGAGAAAAGTTCTTGTTTGGAAATGTTCTGTATGTTTGTAATGAAGTTTGGAAAATTTCGAACGTACGTGCATGCGTGAATATGCTTTTAACGTCTGCCCACCCATGGTCGAGACGGGAATCCTTAAGAATACATCTTCGCAGGAAAAGAGAAGAGATAGATAGATAGATAGATAGATAGATAGATAGATAGAGAGAGAGAGAGAGAGAGAGAGAGAGAGAGAGAGAGAGAAACAGAGACAGAGACAGAGAGATAGACACAGAGAGAGACAGCAAGCCTGTGTCTGTTATTTATAATTAATGTAATCACGTGACAGGATCTAAAGAACATGGCGGAAAAACTTGACTTGGTCACTCGCTGGAAAAATATTTGTATGAGGGTGGATTGCAACGCCCACTTGTATGTATTGACCAATTAGAAGTTGATATTTCCTGAAAATCTGTATGAAGCTGAATAAAATTCAACATTGATAAGAAAGTGGTAACGGGATGCTAAAGCTCACTGTCTTGTTATTGTGTATACGTTATTGTTAAAGGCTTATTAAGTTATCAGCGCCTCACTTGTAATTAGCACGATAATATAACATCTCCAACTTTACACCCCCCTCCACCGAATGCGTCATATAAGTTTGTAGAGGGACCGTGTGGGTTGACTGTTGTTAAATTAGGAACACGTGCTGTCTATTCCTGAAAGAAGGAGGTCCAGCCACAGGAACATTGCCAGACTCCTGTTGAATGCAACCGAAGTTGTAAAGAAAACAAACAAGACCGATATATATATATGTCAACAAATTTACAAGTGACAAATGCATTAACATTTGTGTTTGTGTGTGAACGTAAAGTGTTTGTATATTGGTGAAAGTTCGTACGTAATTGTATGTGTGTTTCAGAAGTCGCCCAGTAGTTATAGTGTAGGGAGAGCGACCCCTAGTGAACAATTAGGGAATTAAGGAGGAGCTAACTCCGACAAGTTTTTCATTGGAGATACCTGCAGGGTCGATTGGGACTTTAGTGTTGCGGGGCCGATAAGGATGTCGCCCCCGCAAGCTTTACGAAGAAAGGTGTGAACAGCTAAGACAATGAGGGGACAAAGGCAAAGGTTTAAGAAACAATAACGTCGATTTTATTTATGCCAATTGTACAAGAGTGTACTCTGGAGAAATATGTCTGTATCGGTGTCGGGTCCGGTATGACTGGTTTTTGTTTAGGGGTAGTTGATTTCGGTCGTATCGGCGAAACAAATGTAGAGTTGGTCGGCGGCGGTAGCTGGTCGACTGCCGGATGGGAGAATTGTCAGGGAACAGCAGCAGGTTGATCGATGTCGCACGAAGATTCGTTGCATCGTTTATGGCGAGTCCCTAAACAGGGCCGAGTCAGAATAGTGATACGACTTCACAGGGTGGATCGTCAGCAGAGACGGGATCGCGCCGAGGTGTAACACTTGACGAGGACGAAGTCCCTAAACAGGGTCGAATCAGAATAGTGATACAACTTCACAGGGCGGATCGACCTCAGAGACGGGATCGCGCCGAAGAGTATTTTCTCGACAAAGCACCGGAAGCTCACAAAGGTAGGGTATTACACTTTGATCCAGTATATTTATTGTATCGAAAAAATACAATTGTGGCACAAGGCCTGAAAAAGGGGGGGGGTGGAGGCTGGTCTTCACTGACTATCCGATACCTAGCTAATCCGATTCACGACCCATTCACTCATTACAATTTGCCCACTCACCACAAGAACTCATCCATCACCAATCAATCCTCCTTACACCATAATACCACATCCTCACAAGGAGGGACCTACAAAACGCGCCCCATGCCATAAAAATTTAATGATAATAAATATTATATAAAAATCTCATAATGAAGGATGAGAGGGGAGGGAGATGAACCCAATAATAAACTAAAATATTAACATAAGTCAAATTAAACATAACAGAGTTTAGTAGGGCCCGTCCAACCCTTAAAAACAAAGAGACCGCTGTATTCTGCCCATGGGACAAAATCAAGAAGCTCTCTCGCTAAGGGAGTGGGAATAGGATAAAAAATCGTACGGGCATGGGAGACTTTAACGCTGACCTAGACGAGATAAAAGGGGGGCGGGCAAAAACAAACTGGGGAGGTTGGGAATCTTAAACTGGATCATAACCAAAGAAGTGGCCAGGAACAGGCCGGGAACAACATTTACTCACATTAACTAGGTACACAAAAGCTTGTCTAACCTAACCAGGGGAAGGATCCTCAGGAAACAACTCCGATGTGACGTAGGCTTGACCTAAAAGAGAAAATCCAGGCCCCCAGGCCGAGCAGCTTAGTATTTATCGATCCACCCACGAGGATAGAATGTGGCACAAGGCCGGTTTAATGTAGGTATCCCCGAGCCCATAGGCTCGGCCAAAAATATAGCCTTTTTGAACCCGCCTAGACGAATTCAGGCCCTGTCTACCTCCCCCTAACGAAACCTTGCCCTTCGGCAAAGCTTCATCCGGGTTCCTCTCTGCAGAGAGTTCGACAGACGCCGACTCGGAAGCTCACAAAGACAGCGTACTACACTTTGATCATAGCCGGGATTTATTTTGTAAAAAACAAAATTGTGGCACAAGGCCGAAAGGAGGGAGGGGGGGTAAAAGGCTGGTCTTCACTATCTTATACCTAGCTAAATTGATTCACGATCCATTCAGACATTACAATTTACTCATTCACCATAAGAACTCGTCCGTCACCAATCGATCCTCCATGCACCATAATACCACATTCACTCTAGGGAGACCTACAAAACGCGCCCCGTGTCATAATGATTTAATGATCCTCACACACAGCCTCCGGGCCGAGCAGCTTGGATTTTGGACGAAAAAAGGGGCTAACAATATGTGGAGCGATTTATTCAAGTACTCCCTGGCTAGAGGGATAAGAAAACCGTAGATATTATTAAATTAATCTCAATGTTGTTCGATGTTTGAAAAAAGCGCTGCATAATCCGATGCTCTCGAGGTACGGTTTGGACTCAACCATATTGGACTAGTCGTCCGGTTTCTCGCATGTTGCTTGACTTAAATCTGCGAGATCAGGTGTTGTGAAGGTCAAGGTCGTCTTTCTAAGGCGCGGCTAATGGCGGCCGCGACACTAGGTTCGTTGATGCCACCTTTTGCACAGACAACTTTTAAAGTCATTCACATCCTTAAGTTATTGTTAAATTTGGCTTGTGTTCTTTTTAATGTATTTTATCTATCGAGTTTAATTTGGCTTGTTTTGCGGGGGCAATTTTTTTCATTTCTGAGAAAAATTGTTTTCAAAATCAAAAAGTAGGAGTTCCGATTAAAATCCACATATAATGCAAAAATTTCCAGTTCCTTCTGCTAAAGTCTTCTCATTATCTTCCACACCCAGTAACCTCTTGCGTCCTAGTGGCATTGGATTTTATTAACTTAATCATTTCACGATTACAAAAAAAAAAAAAAAAAAATTAATTCTGATGTAAATGATCTTCAAGGGAGGTAATAAATATTAATTTTTTAAAGTTGCTTCCCCTGATTTTTATATTTTTTAGCATTTTGCTCTTTTAAAAAGTAAATTTTCTCTAGTCATTTAAAAAATATATTACTTAAAAAAAACATATTCCGAATTGACGCTTAAAAATGGTAAGCAATCATTAGATAAATTATTTAGCATAGCTTAATTCATAAAGCACTCTTGGCTTAAAAACAGTTTCACTGATTGCATACGTATTGGCAATATACGGTTTTTTTGTTTTTTGGTGAGAAGCATATTTTTTTTTTTTAAAAAAGGACTTTTCCATGTCTAGGCCTGTAGACATTAATTTCGCTGTTTAAAAACTGTGGTTTAAAAGCTTTAAAATAAAAAAGAAACCAAGAGTGGGTGCATCAGTGCGAACTAAAGTGGGGCTTGATAATTCGAATCTCCCCTGTCTCTCCTATGATCTTTCTGTCGTCTTTCTTTATTCTCAAATCTCCGTTTTTTTCTGCGTCTCTTAAACCCTTTTTATTGTACGTCCTTTTTTTTTCCCTCTCCGACTAGAACGTTGCTTCGTCAAGTTCGCCAAAACGAAAAAAAATAAAAAATAAATAAAAAATCCCCGATTCCTATTTGCGGTCGAATTTTATAGTCCTTTTCTTTCTTCCCATAATTCGTATTTTGCTCCGGTTTACGGTAAATGTCTCTCGATAAAAGAAATCACCTGTTGCCGTTTCTTTTTCTCCCCCACCGCGAAGCGACATTCCATTTTTTTTTCTTCTTCATTCAAACTACAAAAACAACTAAAAGCGATGTCTTATAAAAAAAAAAAAACTAAAACAAAAAAACAACAACGAAAACAACAAAAAAACAAACAAAACAAAACAAAAACAAAAAACACGATCATCTTCGAAATATAATGTTTATGGCAATAATAAATAATTTCGGATTAAAAATTCATAAATTGAACACGCTACTAATACGAAGTCAAAAATATACAAAATTTTGTTCTTTACTGTTTCGGACAACTCTTGTCTTGTACCAAAAGGTGAAGAAAAAAGCAATGTTTATTATTGGTTCAATTTTTGCCTATTTTATTTTATATTGCGTACTATTTTATACCACCAGAATTTACTTAAAAAATAAATTTAAAAATTCAAGAAAAAAACAAGAAGTCTATAAAATATTGCTGCCAAATATGGTCCGGTGCCATTTCTATTTACTTTGAGCTCCTTGACAAAATCCAAACCAAAGAAGAATCAGCAATATAATCGGTCCTGATCTGGCAAATCGGCTCCAGTCAATTTTCAACCGCGATAAGGTTGCCTTTCTATGCCTTTTCTAATACTTTTGTCGGAGTTAACTCCTCCTTAATTCCCAAATTGTCACTAGGGGGTCATTCTCCCTATACTATAAATACTGGCGACTTCTTGCCTCGTTCTCTTTCCTTAGGTCTCGTGCCGCATCTCACCTCGCGTAGAGGTGAGGTAAATCTTCTTTTTCATTTCTTCATTTCAGCGACTACAATGTAAGCTCTCTTAGAAAATCCGCGTCTTCCCATTTGTGGGAGATGCCATGAACATTATACACACATACACGTACGTACAAACATTCACCAAAGAACAGACACAAATGTTCACACACACAAATGTTATTGTCTATGTTCATTGTAAAATTATTTTGTTTTAATATATATATATATATATATATATATATATATATATATATATATATAAAAAGAACAGTAAGATATATAATCCGGTGTTCTTATAGATATTTTTTATTTTTACAAAATAGTGCTCAATGTAAATTTACAGAGCATTAATATTATAAATTGATTTATTTAAAATATGTTTTTTTCGCTACACAGTTCTAACCATGTTTCAAAATGGAAGCTAAAAGCTACGAATTTAATTTTGTAATTAAATTAAAGACATTAGTTCCATTTCATCCTCAAGCGAATTTTGGAGTAACTTTTAAAATTACTGGGTTTTAAAGACACAGCTAAAATCATGATTCACGTTTCCAAGGTTACAGATAAATCTATTTCAACTGGACAAGGGGTGTATGGGTGTTCATTATGTCTGTATTATTGTATCCCTTATTGGTAGGGA